GTCCATGTCAATGATGGAGACGTTAAACAAGACCATTCCCGACACTGAGCCCTGAGGGACACCACTTGTTACTGGTCTCCAGCTGGACATTGAGCCATTGATCACAACTCTTTGTACACGGCCATCCACAGATCAGATTGGATGGGGTTGGGAGCAACTTGATCTAGTGGAAAGTGCCCCTGCTCATGGCAGGGGTGTTGCAGTAGGTGACCTTTAAAGGTCCTTCCAACCCAAACCATTCTGTGATTCTATGACAAAGTCACCTGCAGTCTTCTTGTGGATGGCCTTAGTCACCCAGCTCCCTAAGAGAAAGATAAACCTCCTTTTTCTTCTTGTAGCTGGAAATTACAACATGAGCAATCAAGGGTCACATATATTTAACTGTTTAGGTACTTAAGACATATTACAACAAGGCACAGTGATTTTCAAACACACCAAGGTAAGATCAACAAATTGTGGAAACCCAAAGAAGAGTTTTTCTTCAGGGCCTGCACAGCCTCTCCAGTTAGTTTGGCTACAGTCTCTTAGACATGAGAGTCTGAGATCTGTGAGAAACCTGCATGCCCTGAATGCCAAGAAGTGCCATTAACTGCTCCTTCCATCCATCATGTCTATTCCTAACCATCATAGAATCATAGAATACTTAAGAGTTGGAAAGGACCTTAAGATCATCAAGTTCCAACCCCCCTGCCATGGGCAGGGACACCTCACACTAAACCTTGTTACCCAAGCCTCTGTCCAACCTGGCCTTGAACACTGGGGATGGAGCATTCACGATCCGCTCAGCACCTGCTTTACCTGATTCCCAGCTTTTGAATGCCAGCATTTTTTTTACCCTGTTTGTTTTATTTACGCATAACGAGATTTTGTCTTGCTGATGTTCTGACTCCACCCTACTCTGCTTTACAGCAATCTTTTTGCAAAATAGGACATGATCAAAGGTCACAACCCATAAAAAGGGTTCAAGATTGGAGAGTAGAGAAATTACGATATAGAAATGTCCACCTCACAGCCATCATTCTCTCCCAGGCTCTGCTGTTCTCTGACACCTTATCTTGCACTTGGGCATAACCTTTGCCCATTCCTAGCTGCCTCTTTTCCTCACCCCACTTTCCCACCATGCTTCCTCAGCTTCCCTCACTTTGCCCTCTTCATGTCAAGCAGCTTGCCTTCTCTGGTGCAACTTCACTCGCTAATCTTGCCTGGATGGGAACACTGAGCTTTCATCAAGGCCCTGACAGCCACTTGCACACAGGGTTGTGGGCACTGTGTAGTAACTGATGTAAATTGATCTGTTTGCATCAACCTGGTGTGTGGTGAAAATTGATAAGAAAAATGCACTTCTCCACATTCACGTTATCAGCCTCCGATCTTAATCTCAAGAGTCAATGTCATAATCCATCATTCTGATGAGTGTGAGCTCCCCTAGGCAGGGAGCTTATCTCTTGGTATCTCAAGGGCCACGTGAGGTTATGGAAATCATGCAATTAAGTAAAGGTTACATTGGTCTGAAAGTGTCAACACTGGCTCCCTCAGAACACTTCTATGTTATCAGAGACCAGAGGAAGCAAAAGTAAATGCTTTTACATGGTACAACTCACATGTGTCTTCCTGAAACTTCTATCACGTGAACCTTGCAACCCAGCAGATCCCAGTACCAACAAGACAGAAAATACCAGCCTTGGGCAGTCACCAACACAGATGCACACAAGTAGGGTTTGGAGGCAGGAACATGCTGAAGAAGTGCTGAAAACAGTTTGCGATTCACTGTTAGTTGCCAGGGCAGCCACAGCTTCTCTGGACAACCTATGCCAGTGCCTCACCACCTCACAGGGAACAGCTTCTGCCTAAGAGATCATCTCAGTCTCCCCTCTGGCAGGTTAAAGCCATTCCCCTTGTCCTGTCCCTACAGGCCCTTGTCCAAAGCCCCTCTCCAGGTTTCTCGCAGCTTCTTTAGGCACTGGAAGCTGCTATAAAGTCTCCCCAGAGCCTTCTGACCTCCAGGCTGAATTACTAACGCTTATATACCAGGTCAGACTAGATGGCTCAATGCTTTTGTAAAACCCACCCTTGAAAGCTATCACTTTCAAACACAATGGGTAACATTTATGTATGGATATTTATTTAGTTCCAAGCGGGGTGGAAAACCTGTAGCTGTCACCTTCAGGTGGGTGAGCTGAAGTGCAGCCAAAGTACATGTGGAGCTGTACAGCAGCAGATAATGCCAAGAGGAGAAATCCAGCCAAAGTTTGCCAGTGAGCAAGGGAAAACAAGTGAATAATCCAGGTCTTCATCACATTTCAGATGGTGACAGCCTGGGACTGAGGTCAAAAATAAAAATAAAACCCCCCAAAAAACCAAACCAACAACAACATAATTACAGTTACTTTTTATTTTCACAACACATAAAAGCACCAGAACCTGGAGTGTCTCAGGGGGCAGATCTGTGATTGTTGCTTCTGTACAAGCACAGAGAGATGGTATTAGTAAAGTATCATAACAATTTTCATTACCCACAGCTCTTAAAAAAAGATTTGCCAGGCAGAAAAACAGTATTTGAAAAGTATGGAAGGTGCTCTGGTTTTGGTGTTGGACCAGAATCAGCCTTCTTTACTGAAATCCTAGGTACTATTTAAGCCCAGAACTGGAAAAAAAAAGTGACAGATAACAGTCTGTGGATCATACAGCCATAGCTGGTTTTGTATACAAATTTTTTTCTTTTTTTTTTTTTGGCCATATTTTGCAGTATTTTTGTGATTATATTTTGCATAATTATAAAATATATTTGCAAACATTTTCAGCTATGTATTTTCAACTCCACATATAAAACATTAAAACGTTTCATTGCAAAGAGCTATCTCATGGTCCAAAAAGAAAGCCCAGTGATAGAGGTTTCATACTTCTGCACTGATTTATCAGATATTTGTCTAAAGTATGCTGGAGTCAAGTATTAGAAATGGAGAGATTCACACTAAGTGTGAACTGCAATTATTCTTGACATTAATCGTTTCTGCTTCACTGTAACAACATGGATTTATCATGGATTTTGCTTTAATCTTTTACTTCAATCCGCTGAGTCCCACTGTGCCATAAGTGGTGAAATGACTGAAGACAGCTGCAACACCAAAAAGTTTACATCATAAACAGGTAAAAGTCACAGAGTAGACGGAGGAAAATTGAGAAGGTAAACATAAAGTTACTTAACACAGGTGGGATAAGGACACAAGCCTCTCATTTGCTGCTCCCACCACCCATACCCCCAGGTTTCTCTACTGATGATGGCACATATTACTTTTTACAGCTACTAAGGAGAACTTGCAAAGTAGTTAGAGCACTGGGTCTTGATCCCCCTGCTCGAGAATGACGTACATAAGTCATTAGTTGAAATAATAACATGGTCTGATGAGCAGCAACAGGTCAGAGCCACCAAAAATAATCATAGAATCACAGAATGATTTGGGTTGGAATGGCCCTAAAGCTCATCTAGTTCCAACCCCTTAATAATAACAGTATACAACCCCTAATATAATAATAGCTAGGCATTCTCAGATCCTTCTCCAAAAAGCCTGAGAAAACAGAAATCCCTCCCTTTACAGACACACTAACTTTGATCAGAGTGACGGAAGGGTTCAGAAAGCAGCAAACACAGATAATGCTCCCAAATCTCCAAGTCCCTCTTCTAGGACCTTTTGTACAATGTTAGAAGGGAACACATGTGGGGAAGAGGCAAGGAGCAAAAGGGAGCCCTAGCATGTCTGATGTGGAAAGATGCTGGCTCCTGGTACAGCAAAAGTGGCAGCAGCATCAAGCAGAGATGAGAAGAGGGTGTTAGGCACTGGCCTGCACTCCAGTCTGAAGTAAAAGCAGAAAACCTCAAGTTAAACCTAATGGGGAACACACACTACAAGGTTAACCCTAAAATCATGGGATCACTTTATGGAAGATGACATGGAGGGGAGAACAGCCAGCTCTCCACAAGCCCCAAGCTCTGAAGATTAGTGAACTGCACAGTAAGTCTGTTAAAGCTAAACCCGGGAGAAACAGCATTTATACAAGGATTTCAGGCAAAAGCTGGAGCTCAGCTTATTTCAAACACAGGTCAACAACAAGGAGGAGAACTACTCACAACTCATCAGGGTCACAGAATCTCAGACTGCTTTGGGTTGGATGGGAGCTTAAAGATCAGCCACTTCCAACCCCTGCCATGGGCAGGGACACCTCCCACTAGAGCAGGTTGCTCCAAGCCCAGTCCAACCCAGCCTTGAACACTGCCAGGGATGGGGCAGCCACAGGTTCTCTGGTCACCCTGTGCCAGCACCTCAGCACCCTCACAAGGAAGAGGTTCTGCCTAAGAGCTCATCTCAATCTCCCCTCTAGCAGGTTAAAGCCATTCCCCCTTGTCCTGTCATGATAGTCCAGACAGAGCAGGCTACCATGTACACCAGAGCACTCTTCCACCACTGACCCTTGGCACAAATGCTCAGAGGATTTGAAAATAAGGTTGTTGTGTTTGGATGGTTGTTTTTGTACACCTGGGGATGACAACAACCATTGAGCACAAAGATTAAAGCAAAGTCAGGCTCAAGGTTCGGGAGAAACTGCTTCAAGCCAGGAGAGCAAGGATCCTGCTCGTCACCTCTTTTAGCCAGATTGTAAGGACTTCCTCCAGACTAGTGATTTGGTAGCAACTGACAGCATCCTCTTCCCCCATCACACACAGGGAGCTCATATCTGCAGCCTCAGTCCGCAGTTTCCTTCCTTTAGCTGGAAAATGGGAATGCTGATTCCTTCTGGCGTATTTTTCACATGACTGACCACAAAGCTATTAATATCTGAATCCAGAGCCAGTTCAGATTGACAACTCATCCCCTCCAAAGAGAAGAAAACCACAATTTCTTCCAGCTATGGAAAAATCTTCATGGACTGCCAGACCAGCAGCTCAGATGTAGCAGGGACAGTTCTGGTTTACTGAAGCACCTTAGTGGTGAACATCAACCATCATGAGACAGTTTGGGTTGTTTCTTCTGTGCCTCCTTCTCATCTCCAGGAAGGGTGAGTCCTGAGTTTGCTATGAATCCCTGTCTGCGCAGAGCTTTCCTTCATGCTCTAGTCAAACTGCTAGGGGAATTGCCTAATGCAATCAACTCTCCAACAATTGCACCATCCTTTCCATTGTTTGAAAAGATCCTGATATTCCAGGTGCAAATACTGGAAAAAACTCCAGTATGTGGCTCTGCAATTGTGAGAGTGGTCTTTGGTTTGGGTTTTGTTTTTTTTTTTTTTTTTTTTTTTTTGCTTTCTTTGCTATTTAACCTGTGCAGGGAGTTCATCTAACATTGCCCCTGCATTGTCAGTGGGATGCAGCATTTCCACCACCACCTTAGAAGTGTTGTTTCATGTTCCTAGTAGCTTTTATGTAACAATTTGCTGTAGTTCCACTGAGCACTTCAGTCCACATTTAACTTCAAGTATGCACTTAAGTTCCATTATACTTGATGGAATTTGCTTAGATATACTGTCAAACAGTGTTTGCTAGAGCAAGGCTAATGTCTGTGGTGGTATTCAGCTCTTGATCCTGTCTTCATGGCTGTTCCACTGACAAATAGCAGATACACTGACCTGAAAACTCCTGTGTAAGATGTGTAGGCTATTTGCCTATGAGCTTCTCTGTTTCTTGTGAGAGCTTCAGTTCCAGGAATGTATGGAGTTTGGGTATTAGCAGGAGGAAGCCATGGAAGACCTACCAGTCTTTAAGGTTATGGTTAAATTGTACAGAAGATGCTGACAAATCTCTCCACTCATTTTGGAAACTGTGACCATTCCACAGAAATGGGTGGAACTGTAACATTACAAGCACTGATTTTTAACATTATTTCTCTTGTGGAAGGTGGGGATGTTCATGTGCTAAAAGAGAACCTTCTCTGTTTAATATATTAAAAAAAATGCAGTCCAAAAAGGTGGCAGAGAAAAGCAAATCATGTTTTAGGTTGCCTTCCAACCCTCACCATTGTATGACACTGTGTACTCAAAAGCACATGATCTGCAGTTCTCCAAAAGTAAGGGTCACAGTGACGTGCTGTAAAATAACCAAAATAACATGGAATAAATAAGAACGCCAAGAGCATTTTCTTCTTTCACTGCCAGGTCCTTATGCTCCATAAGCTTCTTGGAGTCATGTAGCCTTGTATATTCGATTATCTGGGCTGCAAAAGGCTCCTAGGCTATAACAAATGGCAAGGCAGCCTGACTCCAGATCTCAGGAATCAAAGTATTGGCTTGGCACTGGTTCCAGATAAATAACAGCAGAGAACTGATCCCACACTGGCCTTTGTCCATTGTGCAGCAGACAATAGATTGATACAGGTTGCACCGCCAGCCAGGTATTTGTCAAATATCATGGAGAACAGATATAAGAACATGAAACAAATCTTGTCTTGGAATTTACAAAAGGAACCTGACAGTTGAATGCCCAGAGTCCACACTGAAGCCAGCTGGACCAGGAGTAGGTGGCAATTATTTGCAGGTCACCTTTACAGATTTTGAAGTTAATCTTGGTTATTGAGGAGAAAACTCCTGACTTAACAAAGCCATTAAGTTGGTTTTATAAGAGAGGAACCTCCTAAAGACACAGTCTGCTGATAATGTGCACTTAGCAAGACAGTGGGTAGATACACATAACTACATAGCAAACACTGCCTACAGGTGCTGTTTGTTGATGCTGTTGGTTCCTGGGGAATAGAAATGGATGAAATACTGAGTCTTCACTATATACTTCAAAGGTGGGGAGTATCCAGTCAATTGAAGGCTGCTTTCATCACTGGAAAAAAAGTGATCAGACTGGGTCTGATGGCAGTGGGGTTCAGCTCCCCAGGGTGCACTAGGATTTCCTGTTTGGCCAAGAAAGCAAAATCCTGTATGTGACATCAGATGGAAAACTCACATGGAAAACTCAGTTTTCCCCTCACCATGAATGGGAAAATACTGGGAAGAATCCACACAGTGACAATCTGCTTTGCTGACAGGCAGATGCTTTCTCTATTCTCAAGGACATCCTCCTTCCTATGACAGGAGCTAATACAGGGAACTTGCCTGTTCTCACTAGCCTTCCTAAGATGAGTATCTTCAAGTTTTTATTGAGATGCTGCCACAGCTTACAGTTAGATGCTACTGCGATGACAGCAGCACTGATTATTAGGAGCATCAGCTGTTAACACCTTCCCTAGGGGTAATGCACCCACCAACCTATTACTGTAACAAATACAATAACATAGTAGTGTGTGTGTGCATGCGCCCAAATACAGAGCTGCTACACCGGCCTAAAGCCACCAGATTTATGAATATACGCAAAATCTATTTTTTAACTTTTATTATTATTATTTAAGAAAAAAGCAGTCTGTTCCTCCAAACATACAAATGTCGTAGAAACATTGAAACGAATAGCTAATTGGAAAGGACCTTAAGATCATCTAGTTCCAACACCCCTGCCATGGGCAGGGACACCTCACTCTAAACCATACCACCCTAGATTACATTCAACCTGGCCTTGAGCACTGCCAGGGATGGAGCATTCACAACTTCCCTGGGCAACCCACTGCAGTGCCTCACCACCCTCACAGTAAGGAACTTCCTCCTTATATCCAATCTATACTTCCCCTGTTTAAGTTTTAACCCATTACTCCTTGTCCTATCACTACAGTCCCTAATGAAGAGTCCATCCCCAGCATCCCTATAGGCCCCATTCAGATACTGTAACGCTGCTATGAGGTCTCCATGCAGCCTTCTCTTCTCCAGGATGAACAGCCCCAACTTTCTCAGCCTATCTTCATACGGGAGGTGCTCCAGCCCCCCGATTGTCCTCATTGCCCTCCTTTGGACTTGTTCCAACAGTTCCATGTCCTTTTGATGTTGAGAACACCAGAACTGTACACAATACTCCAAGTGAGGTCTCACGACAGCAGAGAAGACAGGCAGGATCACCTCCTTGATGCAGCCCAGGATACAGTTGGCTTTCTAGGCTGCAAGTGCACACTGCTGGCTCATGTTCATTTTCTTATCAACCAGCACCCCCAAGTCCTTCTCTTCAGGGCTGCTCTAAATCTCTTCTCTGCCCAGCCTGTAGCTGTGCCTGGGATTGCTCCGACCCAGGTGTGGGACCTTGCACTTGGCATGGTTAAACTTCATGAGGTTGGCATCAGCCCACCTCACAAGCGTGTCAAGGTCCCTCTGGATGGCATTCCTTCCCTCCAGCGTATCAACCGAACTATACAGCTTGGTGTCATTGGCAAACTTGCTGAGGGCACACTCAATCCCACTGTCCATATCACCAACAAAGATGTTGAGCAAGACCAGTCCCAACACCTATCCCTGAGGGAGACCACTTGTTACTGGTCTCCAGCTAGACATTGAGCCATTGACCACAACTCTGTGTGCGGCCATCCAGCCAGTTCTTTATCCACAGAGTGGTCAAGTGGTCCACCTATCAAATTGATGTCTCTCCAATTTAGAGACAAGGATGTCGTGTGGGACAGTGTCGAACACTTTTTTATGTCTGTTAACTGCAAAAGACTGTTACACAGCTTAAGGTGTAAGGTGCTCACTTTGCAAAGAAGAGTCCTGCTTAGGAATTAAATCACTTTCAACACTGTGTCTGGCACCAGGTTCACAGTAACTGGCCTGAGCAATCATATGCAGCTTGTTAGCAAGAACACCAAGCAGCAGAGGGTCCACCACAGGAACACAGCATCATTGTCTGACCAGCAACAGAGCAATGCAGGAAGAATGGCCAATTTCCCTCTTAAACACTCCAGATAAATCAGTCTTGATCATCTCTTTTTGCTTCCAGGCCTGCAGTCCAGTGGGTGGTCTGTTCACGTCCCATCTGATGTCACTGGTGAGCTTGGGAAGATGGTTATCCTGCCCTGCACCTTCACACACCCCTACAAAACATTTGACAGGACTCTCACTGCCATTTGGAGGATCAAAGAACCTTACAATGGCACAGTTGTGTTCAAGTGCATTAGTCAGAGCACCAGCGAGCTCTGCAAGACTGCCATCAGCTACAAAAACAAATACAAACTGCTTGGCAACCCCTGGCATAAAGACCTTTCCATCAGGATTGACAACCTGACCTGGAGCGACAGCGAGAGATACTTCTGCAGGGTGGAGCTGTCTGGAGATATCCATGACAAGTATGAAAGTAGGAATGGGATAAAGCTGCATTTGATCGGTAAGAGGGAAGGAGAGACAAAGGAGGCAAAGCCTTCACATAGGGAAGTGAGAGCCACAATATGTGGAAACTGATGAGACAGACTTCTGAAGAGCTGGCTTTGCCATCTCTGTGGACAATTTATAACATTTGGGCAGGAAATATTCATTGCCTTCTGTAGTCTTCCAGTATGACACAGTGAGTGCAAAACAGGGAAAGAAATAGGAACAAAAGTGGTAAGGAAATAGGCAGGCTCTGGTGCTGGAATAAGAGCCAGACAAGTCTAGTATCTAAAGAGACCAACAAGAGAGCTGGTGAGGGGCTTTGGACAAGGCCTGTAGGGACAGGACAAGGGGGAATGGCTTGAACCTGCCAGAGGGGAGACTGAGATGAGCTCTTAGGCAAAAAGTTCTTCCCTGTGAGGGTGATGAGGGACTGGCACAGAGTTCCCAGAGAAGCTGTGGCTGCCCCATCCCTGGCAAAGTTCAAGGCGAGGTGGGATGAGGCTTAGAGCAATCTGCTGTAGCGGGAGGTGTCCCTTCCTGTGGCAGGGAACTGGTTAAGCTTTAAGGTCCCTTCCAACACAAACCATAGGCTTCTATGATCCCGTTTTGTCCATGCAGCACAGGACCTGTATAGGCATCAGAGAGGCAAGCTGGGGTCAGCATCCCACAGGAAGGGGTTAAAGACACCCTCTTCGTCAGAATCTACACTGGAGAGCCTGAGTGCTCAGCGCATGTTAGCAAATGTAAACACATGAAGCCCTGGATGATAACAGGGGATTGAAACAGCAAACCACCTGGTACCTGTGTGCCATAGGTTCACACTCCTCTGGTGCAGCAAACAAGTACAAACAGCCTGAAAACCAGCTCAGATCAGCAAATGTCAAACACTATTCCCATCTCCCAGAGTACACAGTAGATCAGAGGATCAGTGGAAGACCCAGGTGGGCTCAGGAGCATACTCAGACTTCACCCACAAGTGCAAAAGTGTCATGTGTTGGATGACTTTGCATATGAATTGCAACTGTCTCAGGTCTGCTGTTCACTGTGAGATCCAGATGGGACCCGAGGGTGAGTGAGGTTACTGCCAGGGAAGCTCTACAAGGTCGGTGCTTTCCATCATTGGAGCAGTTCCAAGGCACACACACACACAGCATGACCATGGCTCTCCTTCACCTGGAGCAGCTCCTGAACACCTGCATACACAGCACAGCAAGGTAGGACAGCTGCAGGATTGGCTTCTCAGGTGCTGCTGGATTTACCACCGTAAGAACTGGTCAACATACACAGAGATGGTACCCAGGCTGCACCCTGCTTTTGGGAATGGATGCTGATGGTGTGAATAGAAGAATAAAATAATGCTTAAAAGGTTAATTTAAACACCAAAAAATGAGACAAATGAGACACAGCTAACTTTCCTATGGATCAGTCCTCCCCCCTCAAACTCCTCCTGTACCACAGAGACAAGGAGAAAGATGTGCTGTAGGTGGTTGTGAGCTATATATTTGTTTTTTAGCTTAACAAAACATGAGATCAATATTGAACTCATTCTTTTGCTCCATGATGACAGTTGTTTAATTCCCTTCAGTTTTCAGATGGCCTTTAGGAACCAAATGCATTAAATAGGACAACAGACCAAAGAGGATAGGGTTGATAAGTAAGATAAGCTTAGTCCTATGTTCTATGCTTCCTTAGCAGACTAGACCAAAGATGACATATTCAGTGGTGAACCTCTTAACATTTCTCATCCCCCAAAATGATCTTTACCACTGTTCAATCCTATATGCTGCAAATACAGGATACAAAGTAAGTGGCCCTATTTTGGTATTGATATGCTGCCCCAAAGCAACACATGGTAGGTGTCACTACAAGGTTGGAGAAAAACATGAAGAATAGTTTGTGGTCAGGAGTGTAAATGTTCCCTGACAATAATTTGCCAAATCTGGCAAGTCTCACACACCAAAGGGCTCACAAAGGTGGATCCATGTGTGCTCTGGAGGTCAGAGACCAAAGGAACAGCCATGACACTTGCAGGAGAGCACCATGGTTGCCTTGGCCCTGGACATTGTGCAGGCACAGCCGGTCCAAAAGAGTCACCAGCTGTAAAGGCCCTCATGTTACAGACAGCATCAGGCTGATTCATGGTGCAGCTGCAGAAAGCACTCCATCCCCATGGACTACTGCCCTGCACAGCACAGTACCTCTGCTTTCTGCCACTGTGGAAAGTCACAACAGTTGTAGCTGACCAAAGCTCGTAAAACGGAGCCATTGCAGAGATAAAACACAAAGAGCCTACACATCCTTGCATCCAGGCTTCGCTGGGTGAACCCCTTTGCTCCATTATCCAACATAGGCAGGGTGGGGAATTCTAAGGAAAGAACCATAGAATCATAGGATAAACCAGGCTGGAAAAGACCTTTAACACCATTAAGTCCAACTACTACTCCAGCACTATCAAGGCTAACTAACTCATGTCACTGATGGCCTCACCTACACGGTTTGTGAACACTTTCAGGGACGGTGATTCCAGCACTGCACTGGGCAGCCTATTCCAAAGCCTGAGCACCCTTTGGGAAAGGAACTGCTCCTAATCTCCATCTAAATGTCTCCTGGTGCAGTTTGAGGCCATTCCTTTTTGTCCCATCCCTTGTTCCTTGGGAGCAGAGACCAGCCAGAAGATGCTGAGAAAAACAAGGAAGGAAAGGTTGGAATCCAGCATGACCTGGCTTCAGTGTGCACTTGAGCCCAGAACTGCCACTTGTGCTGGGCTGCATCTCCAGAGTGTGAGCAGCAGGTTGAGGGAGGGGATTCTCACCCTCCGCTGCACGCTGGGGAGACCCCAGCTCTGGGGAAACAACACAAGAGGGATGTGAAGCTGTTGGAGTGAGTCCAGAGGAGGCCATGGAGATGCTGCAAGGGCTGGAGCAGCTCTGCTCTGGAGCCAGGCTGAGAGAGCTGGGCTGGGTCAGCCTGAAGAAGAGAAGGCTCCTGAAGGGGAGACCTTAGAGCAGCTCCAGTGCCTAAAGGGGCTGCAGGAAAGCTGGAGAGGGGCTTGGGACAAGGGCCTGTAGGGACAGGCCAAGGGGAATAGCTTGAACCTGACAGAACAGGGGAGACTGAGATGAGCTCTTAGGCAGAAGCTCTTCCCTGTGAGGGTGCTGAGGCGCTGGCACAGGGTGCCCAGAGAAGCTGTGGCTGCCCCACCCTTGGCAGTGTTCAAGTCCAGGTTGGATGGGGCCTCATTCCAGGTTATTTTGGTTTAGACCCTTGACGCACTTTCCTGATTTATGCAGCTGCCCCCAGGATCGTTAACATTACCGTCAGCTCCAATGGGGATCACACGTTCCAAGCACGCTGCACTGCCGAGGGGGAGCCAGCCCCCACCCTGACCTGGACAGGACCACCCTATAGCAACCTCAGCTCCATTACCAGCACCAGTCACCGTGTCACCAGGGAGCTCCAGTACCTGACCCACGATGGGAAATACACCTGCACTGCTGTCAACAGCCACGGGAGAGCAGAGGGGACTGTGTACTTCTATAGGTTCAGATCATCCAGCAGCTCCTTCCTCCTCATCCTGATCTTTGTGCCTCTGGGAATTAAAGTGCTCATTTTGCTGGTGATAGTTATCTTCACCGTTTTCTCTAGCGGAGGTACGTATTGCTGTATCTATCACACTGGTAACCTGCAATGGGATGTGACAGGCAGCATCAGTTAGGAAGGGCTGGGTTTGTTTTGAGCACTTTATGATTTTTTTTTGTGATTTTCCACTCTAAAAGGATATTTCTAAGAAGAAATCTAAGATCAAGTAAGAGGTTGCTCCTCCCTGGCTGGTCACTGGCTGCAGACCAGAGGTCTCCTTTGAGAAGGGACTTTTGAAAAGACAGAGGGAGCAGGAGTTTTTCTTGATCCGAGGAGTGAGGTTATAACTAACAGATGGGTGATTAGTGGAGAACCTGATGCCTACAGCCAGGTTTTTAATTTATTTGGGTTTTTTTCTGAAGCAGACTAATTACCACCTCTTTCCCCGGAGGCACATGGGCAGGATTCATCTTTGCTGCATCCCATTCAACACTTCCGTCTCCTGGGGTGGGCATCCTCATTTAACAGACCATACCTCTTGGTCCCCTGGGCCTCACTACCCAGGTGCTTCCCCATCATTAGTGGCATCCCACCTCCCAGCCACACCAAGGCCACGAGAGCAGGGAAACCAGGCTTGTAGCAGGTGAGAATTAGCTCATGGACTGGGGAATGAGACCTACTAAGAAGCCCAGAGGCTGCTGGTCCCCAGCTCCCTGCTCTGTGATGCTGGGGAGGAGGGGACCAGGAGGGACCCTGTTCAGGCTGAACAAAGTATTATATTACCATGACCTATCTATATGATCTGACATCAACACCTTACAAAAGCCACTGCTTGTCTTGAACTGTAGAGGCCATAAGATCAACCAGAAACACTTTGCTCCTTATATTCCAGTGCCCAGTTCCCATCCCCATGAAGAGTACCACATACCTGACAAAAGATCTTCTCCCCATTCGCTGGAGTGTTGTGACCACCCTGCAGTGCAGGTCCCCAGTACCTCTAGGTCAGTCCCGGCTCCTCAGCTCACTCTGACCACGTTGCTAACCCATGTCTTCCTTCTCACTTCACAGGTGCCTCAGCTCAATCCAGCCTGGCCCGGTAAGAATGTCTTGCCTTCTGCTTCTGTTTATCCATCAGGAGTGAGGAGATGGCAAAGGAGAGAAGTGCAACATGTCCTTGGTCTTGGCAGCCACCTTCTGGCCTGACAGCAGGCTCCTGGGACAAGGACAGGGCTGGGATGATGGCTTCTGTGAGGGACCAGGACTTGGGCACTTCTGGGAGGAGGAGAAGGGACTGGGGCAGCAGGTTGGAGAGACCATAGTATATGGATGCTGCAGAAGAAGCTTATGTGGGCCATAGCCCCACAGTGTGGTAGAAAACCACATTAACATAGCAAAAGAATGATTGAGGGACAGAATAGGGGAACAGGTTGGGATAGGGTCTGTGCCAGGCTGAGGAATGATGAATTGAAAGGAAATGGTGCAACAGAAACCCTCTCTTCCATCTGCACCCCAGTCTCTAATGGAGCAGAAAAGGTGCCCACCCCAAAGCTGATGAGCTCTGAGAAGTGTGGAGGAAGGTACAGAGATCCCAAACAGCTCACCTTAGAGCCAGTTCAGGTGTGACAGGGCCATTCTTTGGCTGGCATCAATATCATACTCCCACAGTACCTTTGGCATTTCCCATTGCCCAGCACAACACCAATCCTGAATAGTGACAGCAGCGGTGGCCAAGCTACAAAGTGCAAGGGGAACAAACAAAATAAAACCCCAAACCAATCTTTAGACTAAACCTGAAGAAGCTGTATCTGAGCCAGTATAATTACACCTGCCTAGGGCTGCTCCCTTCCACCCCGAGTTATTCCTGTGTGATACAGAATCCCAGACAGGTTTGTGTTGTAAGGGAGCTTAAAGCTCATCCAGTTCCAACCCCCTGCCACAGGCAGGGACACCTTCCACTAGAGCAGGTTGGTCCAAGCCCCTGAGTCTAATCTGGCTTTGAACACTGCCAGGGATGGGGCAGCCACAGATTCTCTGGACAACCTGTGCCAGTGCCCCAGCAGCCTCACAGGGAAGAGCTTCTGCTGAAGATCTCATCTCGATCTCCCCTCTGTAGAGTTTAATCTGAGAGTTAAACTTCTAATAACTATTTGTGAAAGCATAGTTCCACTGATTCACAGTGTCTAAACCATATGCACCCTTGACTGTGTTTCTATAGATACATATATAGATAACAGCTTAAGAAACAAGATCCTCCACATTCTACATGAGAAGATCCTTCTCAAGAGAAGTTTGTCACAAACTCCTGAAGCTCTGAGCAGCAGGATAGTAGTACTAGTTAATGTAAAAAGTGTTGGAGATGATGCTGGATGCTTTAAGATGTAAAACATTAGATGTGACTCAGACACTTGAAAGCTACCTGTTGCAGCAGGGAGAATCTGTATCATACAGTATTGCAGACACTCTGACACTCCTTAACTACTGGATGAAACCACTTCATGAAGTCTAGCACCACCAGAAATCTGTCTTTACCTTACTCACTTCTCCTATTGCCAGGTCACAGCCACAAGACTCCACCTATGAGAACTTTGACCGCAGACACAGCGGCGACCAGACTTTGCCAACACAAAGAAGAGCATCGAGATGCAGCTGAGGACGAGGCAGCCTCATCCACACCCACATGGTTCCAATTCCAGTCTGCTCTGTACAAGGGTGCCTTTTCCCACTGGATATAGGACTAATGTTGGATGATGCACAGAAGGTTAAACAGGCCTTGCAGCCGCATGACTTCCACTCCTGATGCTGCTTAAAAGCCAGGGAAGCTTTTAAAGGGAAAACAGAAGGAAGAAAGAGAACTCAAAGAGGAATGGAGCTGAAAGAGCAGCAGAGGATCTACGCAGGATGTCAGTTCTAACCCAACCTGTGTGTTTTTAGCCTGTATCAGATAGCATTGAGAAGCAAGTGACAGTCTACGATTTTTCTCACATCTTTTTGTTTTAGTGTTTTGCAAACATTACTTCAAAAAGCAGTTTTTCACCGCTCCACTTGTCAAACCACATGCAGCTTCCTAGAGCCAGCAAGTGAATTTTCACGTTTCAAATACCAGCTGTGAAAAAAAACACTACCTGAATTTCTGCTTGTTTGGGTTCTTCCTTGGGTTTTGGAGTTTGGATTAATATTTTTCTTGGGGGGAGGGGGTTTAAATTATTATTATTCCTTAACTTCCAGAAGAGCTTATTTAAGAGCTTAAGAGTTTTTAAAAAATCCTAACTTCCAAGAGGAGTCCAAGTGAAAAAGAGAAGAGGTTTTCCAAAAGCTGGTAGACAGCAGAGCTGAAAGCAAGGCTTGCAAAGGGTGGTCTTTATTGCAGCACCACTACAGCTCTTAGCGCCAATGTGCACACACAAGCAGAATCTCGGTGCTTTGTAATAAATACACCATGAAAATGTCCAAATAATCCAAGCTGGCATTTAAAAAAAAAAAAACAAAAAAACAAAAACAAACCAAAAAGAGCCAAAGAAAATTATTTGCAAACAGTTTCCACCTCTGTGTTACATGAAGAAGTTCCCTTAAGGCCCCACTACTCATCTGTCCTGAGATGAAGCAGCTACTACAGTCACTGGCCATCCACAGGCAAGTCGCTAACCCAATTGCTAATGTGTTCCAAGACTAAGTGAATATACCCAGCTTACAATACAGGATGATGCAAATCCACCTGGAGTCTTGGTCAGGCAGACAAAGGTCCAGGAGAGGGTTGTGAAGAGCAACAGGCTGGTATATAGGAGGATGAGGAAGACATGAAGTGGTGATAAGAACTTACTTTCAGGTTTGTATCAGTGGATTCAATGCTCTGTACAGTAACGCCAGTGCAGCAGCTCCAAAACTCTTTCCGTAACAATCCCGTTTCTGGAGCCCAAGCTGCTCATGAATCACCATCAAGCCTGCGGTTCTGCTGCAAGCTCATCCCCACCCTGGGTACTGTTATTTTAAAGTTCACCCCTTCACTGGGAAAGCACAACTTTCAATTACTTCGAGAGGGTAACAAGGGAAAATACATACATAAATAAATAAATAATAAATACAAGGAAATACTTTAACCTGATCTTTTAGATCCCACCTAAAATCCCAGCAGTGGAAAAATTACATTTAATAAAAATAGGGAAAGATGCAAAGAGAAAAATGAAGTTATAGCAGACAGCACAGTCATGGACCAGTAGGCTCCGTTTCAGAGGTATCACAGGAAGAGACCTCAGAGATATTAGTTGAACAAACTGAACTGGATTTATAAGCCCTTATGGTTTATAGAGTAATGAGAACCCATTTCTACCTATATGTGGGGTTGGGGTTTGGCTTACAGGATTCTTCTCTTGAAAACTACTTCTGTAACTCAAGCAATTGGGGTCCAAATGCAAAATCCACCTAGGATGCACAGGTGTGCTGCCAGCAAATGGACAGCACAGAATAGCTGCAGCAACATAGATGTAAGAAAACTCATGGATTAGCATCGTTTGGCTTTCACTTATTTGGCTTCCAGAGCACAGCCCACGTTAAGTGCAGGAAATGGGAGAACAAGGATATCCAGGTACAAGAACTCCACTACACCCCTAGGAGAAACAGAGGAATAAGTTTGCCTGAATCCTGCTGGTCCTCCTAGTGAGAGACCTCCAACCCATCCACCTAAATTTATCTTCGATGTGAAGAGTCTGCTCCCAATCTTTCCCTCTCACTACCTGATGTTCTGTTCTTTGGAAAGCAAAGGGTATGGAAGAGGTGCTGAGGAGAGTCCTTGTAGCCAGCAGTGGAGCAGAAGGAGCCCACTCCAGTGTCTGCACACAATAAAGTGCCTACAGGACAGGGTTGTGGGGAAAGCTCTCATACCTGTTCTGAGAAATGAGCACAGTCAAGTGCCTCTCAACAGGGGGAACAAGCAGGAGGAATTGAGAGGTCCATGTACAGTTGCAAGGGCACAGTCTCACTGGCATGATGGAAATGCCGTGGGACAGCTCACAAGCCTGAAGTGCTGCCATGGATGGATACAGCCTCTTCAGGAAGGACAAGCTGAGGATGAGGAGCTGCCCTTAATGTGAGAGTGCAACACCAATAACAGGGCACTGTCCAGGGGCAGATGATAAGCCTGCTGACAGCTTACAAGTCAGTGTTAGGTGGTCAACGAACAGAAGTGATGGTGTGGTAGGTGCACACTGCACCCCATCGTGCCCAGGAGACACTTGAGGAAGAAGCCCCATGTTGGCAGGTCTAGCCCTCACCAGGGACTCAAAGCACCACTCAAACCAGTATAGGAGGGACCAAATGCAGCAGGACACATGCCAGGAAGTTTCCAGTACTGTCCTTATCTGGCACCTAATAAATGTGTTCAAGTTCATCCCCTTTTTCCTCTCAGTTCACACACAGGCAGCGTTTGGGAGGATGTGGATATTGCTGTGTTGAGCAGCTTGCAGTCAGTGGAAGCAGCTCTGATCCCCACACCACCACAGCCCCTGTGGGATGCTGTGGAGTTGCCCTGCACAGGAGTATGTCTCACACATCTTGCTGTTCAGCTTCTGGTTTTCCACTCCACTGCCTTAAATTAATGCCACATTAAGCTGTTAGGTCCATTTCCCCATTTGTCCTCAATTTTCTTAATTATTACTTAAGCTGCAGTCCACAGTCAACAATTCATCCTAGTGCAACATCTGCTGCGCAAGACAAAAGAGATATTCATTCCCCAACTAAACTGCACCAATTATCCAAAAGGCATGCTTTAAGCTGACATTTCATCTCCTTCCATTGCAGTCTACAGTGCTAAACTCAACACAAAACTGTTCTCCTTCTGAGATTACCTGGTTACATTTATGATGTGAACAAGAGCTGATGTGAACAAAACCCTGCAGTTTAGGGTAGAAGGGAGGGTGTTAAGTACCAAAAACATTAAAATCTTTCCAGTAAACCAAGAAGAAACAAGTCATCAATCTTTTGGGCACCACTATTATTTAGGGATAATAAAACCCTAGGATCTGGTGTTCATATTTGCAACAGAGAACTGCCAGTGGATCTACTACTTAATAAAAATGCTCCCCTGTACTCGAGGAAAGCATAGGTTCAGACTTCTTCCACTACCATGGTCACTAAGAAGCCAGAAGACTGGTTTGGTGTGACACATACAGCGAAAGCAGTAGCTCATGGGGAACTCTCCAGAATTCTTGGTGCTCACCATAGTATTATTGAGAGAACTTTAGCCATGATAAACAATTTTCATCATAATTATTTGATAAAGAAATTGTTAAAAAAAAGGCAACAGTATATTTTCCATTACTTTTCATAGACTCACAGACTGCTTTGTGTTGGAAGGGACCTTAAAGCTCAACAAGGCAGGGGCACCTTCCACTACAGCAGATTGCTCTAAGCCTCATCCAACCTGGCCTTGAACCCTGCCAGGGATTGGGCAAGCCACAGCTCCTTTGGGCACCCTGTGCTGGCACCTCAGCATTTCACAGGGAAGAACTTTTGCCTGAGAGCTCATCTCAATCTACCCTCTGGCAGGTTAAAGCCATTCCCCCTTGTCCTGTCCCTACAGACCCTTGTCCAAAGCCTCTCTTTCTAAGCACTAAGTTATTCAGGGAGACGTTACAACAGTGAAAACAAATGGACATGATGGAGGTGTCAGCAGTGTTTGCTGACAGCAGCAACATCTTGCTTCAGCCCTTCTCACCAGCAAAGCCTTCAGCAAAACTACTGTACCACCAGCACTGGAGGCAGAGCTTTCTCCCACTTCCCTCCACACATTCAGCTTTTCCCTCATTTGGGATAAATACCAAATTGAAGCCTGGGCCAGTTGTGAGTGCTGAAAGAACAGAACCAGTGCATAGCTCTACAATCACATTACTACAGAGGTTTGAGGGATTTTGCCAGGACAGAGAAGCAATATTTCTGCCACTACATAAATGAAATTTCTCCTGGCCTCTTGGCACAAAATCAGGCTGTTGTGTCACACACATCAACTCCAGAATGTCAAAGAGAATAGTCTGCAGACCTTCATCAACTGAGTTGGGATTCCCCATCATACCTTCCCCTCGAAGAACAATTATTACCTAACTTGAATTCTTCCAGCAGGTTGAAAATATCATAGTGCTTCTCACAAATTACTTGACTTTTCATTTTTATTTTGTATAGTTTTTGCAGATATAGCATATTATAAATACAACATTTGTAAAAACTCAACAGCTGAAACAACATCTCATTTGCAAAAAGTGCATGTCAAACATATATTTCTGACTTTTTCACATTTTTATGCAACTGATCTGTAACATTAAATCTAATAAAACCAGTAATTTTAAGTCTTTGGGGAAGGGGTGGGAAAGCAGCAGAATGTATTCTTCCAGACATGAATTTTCCAAAAGAGTCTGTTAAAAACCATGCTGCATTGCTATCTGGTTAATATACAGAGGGATGTACATATGTATATGTATGTATAGGCTCACAGATACAGCAACGAACTCTAAGACCACATTAAGATAAAGGTGATTCAATGACCCAGCTGGCACAGTTAGCAGAATCCGTCAAGAAAAAAAAAGGTGTTTTCTTCTCCAAGAACACCAGAAGCACAGCAACACTTCAAAGCATCACTGCCCAGACAGTAGGTAGCACACTTCCTTC